TATCGAACGCCCTTGCGCGTGTGCCGTCGCGAGAATCCTCTGCAAAAAATCTGACGAAGTGCAGACGCGTGCGTCGTCGCGCGCGTACGCCGAAATCCTTCAAAACCCATCGGTTTCGGAAGGATTTCAAAATCGCGCGTCCAAAAAACCTACAAAAACATAAGGTTTCGCAACACGGGTTTTCAACAAAAGCGTGCGCGCGCGCTCTTGCGGCGTCGTCGTCGTCGTCGTCGTCGTCGTCGTCCTCCCTCCTCCCGCGTCGTCGTCGTCGTCGTCGCCTACGTCGTCCTGTGTCTTTCCTCGTGTTCGTCGTCGTCGTCCTCTTTGGCGTCGTTGTCGTTTCCGTCGTCGTTGTCGCCGTGGTCGTCCTTCCTCCTCCCTCGTCGTCGTCGTCGTCGTCGTCGGGCGTCGGCGTCTCGTCGTCGTCCCTCCTATTTCGTCGCCGTCGTCGTCGTCGTCGTTGTCGTCGTCGTCTCGTCGTCGTCTTCCCTCCTCCCTCGTCGTTGTCGTCGTCGGCGTCGCCGTCCTTCCTCCTGCGTCGTCGTTCGAGTCGTCGCCGTCCTCCCTCCTCCCTCGTTGTCGTCGTTGTCGTCGTTGTCGTCGTTGTCGCCGTCGTCGTTTTTTCTCCTCCCTCGTCGTCGTCTCCGTTGGCGACGTCGTCGTCGTCGTCTTCGCCGCCGTCGTCGTCGTCGTCGTCGGCGTCGTTGACGTCGTCGTTGTCGTCGGTGTCGTCGTTGTCGTCGTCGTCGGCGTCGTCATCGTCGTCGTCGTTGTCATCGTCGTCGTCGGCGTCGGCGTCGTCGTCGGTGTCGTCGTCGTCGTCGTTGTCGGCGTCGTCGAAGTCGTTGGAGACGTCGTCGGTGTTGTCGTAGTCGTTGTCTGCGGCGTCGTCGTTGTCGCTGTCGTCGTCGGCGTCGCTGTCGTTGCCAAGTGCCATTTGGTACCCATCGTCACGGTCTTAAGAGATTTTGCAGACCAAGTTGCGGGTGGGTGGGTGGTATGTTTGCGCGAGCAGTGGAGTGGACAGCTTCAAGACAGTCAAAGTGGAATGCACACCGCATGGACTTCTCCACATAATTCGCACGACGCAGCGTTTCCTTTTCTCAACAGATATGGGTTCAGCCATTCCCTGCAGGCCAGGGTTAGCCCCCCCCCCCCCCCTTGGGATAGTGCGATTTACATATGATTCTTCAGCAATGTTCATGTTCTACTTGGAGTCATACCATCCCAGCCAGACGGGTATCGCCACCCCCCCCGTATCCCTGTGAAACAATACCATGCAGCATCCTTTCAAAAGGATGTCATGCGCAATGATCGACGGTTCGTTCTTGCACGAATCCCTCTCAAATGGCGCACTACGGGGGCACATGCGCGTGCCCGCCGCGCGTGAATGCTGAATACCTTTTCAACACGTATGTTTTTTCTGTTCGTGGCGATTTCAAGCTCGAAGTTCACAGCTATTTAGTTTAAAAGCCCAGTGGCTTGCCACATTCTCATCGCGCGTGCGCACTTGCTCACCCTCAGGGCAACCCTAGGTTATTCACCCTTCCTATCAACTCGGACCGCGCGGGCTTCTCACGCGCGCATGTTGGCATCATTCGAATGCCCTGTCAAATAGTACCTAGCGCGGCGCTCACGCGCCTGCCGCGCGCGCGCGTCGAAACCTTTTCAACACCACCTTTCCAGCTCCGGCACCACCTTTCTACGCACGCGTCCATAGCGATTTCGAGATCGAGGTTCTCACAAACTTCTGAAATAACACATGCATCCAAACAGAGCGTTTCAAACTTTCATCACGTGAGCCCTCATTGCTCTCGTTAGTTTCATCGTTTCAGCAGCGCCAGCGTCAGCATGGTGAGCGGCATCATATTCACTCATCGTCATCATCACTATCATCGTCATCATCACCGTCAGCATCGTCATCGACATCATTGTCGTCGGTGTAGTCTCTCGCACTGTCATCGTTGTTTGTCGACGCCGTCGTCCGCGTCGTCTCCGCCACCGTGCGTCTTCTTGCAGGATGGATTTGCTCCGCGCGACCAGGACCCCGTGCCAGCGGGTTCGGTGAGATTTGCTAGCGGGCTTCATTGGGTAATTGCAGTCGCGGCCTCAGTAGTTTTGCCAGCCAAGTTGCCGGTGGGTGGGCGGGATGGTTGCACGAGCATAGGTGAGAACGAGTTCCAGTTCTTCAAATTCATGCTCATTTCTAAAAGAGAATTTTGATTTTTACCCCCCAGGGAGTATCCCCCCTGAGGATGTGCATTTGTCATACGATTATGCCCCATCGTTCGTTCTTGAGTTCATACCGTCCCAGCTATATACACATTAAGGATGTCCCGGGCCTGGGGCCCCGGGGCGGCCCCCTCCCGATTGTGCCTCTTCTCCCCGGGGACCTCCCCGGGCGACCCCCGGAGGTCCCCGAAAACCCGATAATATGCCAAGACCGCCCAAGACAGCCTGCGTGGCCCTCAAGGCCCCCCGAAGCGCCACACGAGAGCTCCAAGACGGCCCCAGATGACACCGCGACGGCGCCAAGGCGCAACAAGACACCCCCAAGAGGCCCCCCAAGAGGCCCCAAAGAAGCAAAAACCAGCCCATTCCGTTTGGACAACGTATATGTTTAGCATCTTCGCCTCTTGGGCTTTCACAGCGTCCACGACGGTCCAAGAGGCTCCCAAGACGGCCCAGAAGGCCCCCAAGAGAGCTCCAGGACGGCCCAAGAAGTGTCCAAGACGGCCCAGGAGGCCCCCAAGATGGCCCAAGAGCGCCCAAGGACAGGCCCGAGAGGGGCTTCAGAGGGGGAAAAGCCGTGGCCCCAACAGGCCGCCAGGAGCCCCCACAAGGCTCCCAAGAGGCCCCAAGAGGTCCCAAAGTGCCCCCCTAGAGGCCCCCAAGCCCCCAGGAAACCTCCAGGGGACCCCCAAGATGCCCAAAACGGGCCTCTTAGAGACATCCCAAGACACCTTATCATACATCTACGAGAGGCCCCTGGTCCACAACCTAGGCCCGTTCTTGGGGCGCCGCCTGATCGGCACAGGTTTTGTTTTCATGTGTATGTATGTGTATGTCTATTACGTATTGTCGCTCATCAGTTCGTTTTGAATTGAGTACTGTCCTTGTCTTCTGGCCGTTACGTGTTTCGCTTGAACTTACAGAGCTCCTCCAGTGCACCCACCGCATGCTCTTTGCCGTGTGCGACGCTCCGTGCGCTGCGCCTTCTCCCCGACTTCCCGAGTCCCCGAGTCCCCAACCCTCCGACTGGCCGGATCCCCGACTCCACGACTTCCCGACCTTCGTGTCCCCTTCCGCGACTGGCCGGCTCCCCGACACCCCGACTCCCCGACACCCCGACTGACCGACTCCTCGACTCCTCGACTCCCCGGCTTCCCGATTTCGCGACTCCGCGACTGCCCGACTCCCCGACTCCCCGACTCCGCGTCTCCCCGACTCCACGACTTTTCGCCCCCCCGACTCCCCTCGACCCCCTTCGACTCCCCGACTCCCCGATTCCCCGACACCCCGACTGCCCAACTCCCGACTGCCTGACCCCCTGACCCCCCGGCTCCCCGATTCCCCGACTCCCCGACTCCCCGACTCCCCGACTTCGCGACTCCCCGAGTGCCCGATTCCCCGACCCCCGATTCTCCGACTGGCCGACTCTCCGATTCCCCTGCTCCCCGACTTCCCGATTCCGGGAGCCCCGGGAGGGCCCCGCGACGCCACGATCTCCGGCCAGGGACTGGAGATCGTAGCGTCGCGGGGTTTTCTCGGGATCTCTCTCGGAGATCTCCGGCCAAGGGACATCCTGCAGGTGGTCTTTTGGGCGCTTTCTCGGGAGTTCTTTCTTTCTCGGAGCCTCCAGGGAGGCCCGAAAAGTTGCCCGAATCCCGCCAAGGAGTCCCCCAGGAGCGCCAGGAGAGTACCAAGAAGCCACGATCTCCCAACTGAGCCTTGAGATCGTGGCCGGTCAGGACCCCCTGGGAGGCCCAGCTGGGGCTTCCTGTGGGTGGAGCCCTCTCTCTCTGGGAGCCTCCAGGGAGACCCGAGACACTGTTCGAATCCTGCCCAGGAGCCCTGGCTCCAGGAGAGCCCCAAGAAGCCGCGATCTCCCAAGTGAGGCTGGATATCATGGCGGACATGAAGCGCCCTGCTGGGGCCTCCTGTGGCCTCCCTGGGGGCTTTCTCGGGAGCCCACTCTCTCTCTCTCTCTCTCTCGGAGCCTCCAGGGAGGCCCGAAACACGCTCCGAACCGGGCCCCAGGAGCCCCCGGGGGCTCCAGGAGAGCACCAAGAAGCCACGATTTCCAAACCGAGGCTGGGGATCTTGGCGGATCAGGGCACTCTGAGAGGCTCCGCCAGGGCCTCCTGGGGTCTCCGTGGGCCTTTCTCAGGACCTCTCTCTCTCTCTCTCTCTGAGTCTCCGGCAAGGCCCGAGAAATTGCGCAAATTCCGCCCAGGAACCCCCAGGGGCGCCAGGAGAGCCCCACGAAGCCACGATCTCCCGACTTTGGCTGGAGATCGTGGCGGATCAGGGCCCCCCTGAGAGGCTCTGCAGGGGCCTCTGAACCTTTTGTGCCTTTCCCGGGATCCAGGTCCGCAGCCACTGTGCCTCACGCGGCGTACTTAGGCAGCGTCTACCTTCTGGTCCGACGCTCCAACCATCTCTGACCAAGTAGAAGGCGTTGGCCATGCAGGGGCCTCCCGCTGTGCAGTCCCTGCCGCCCTGGCAGGAGAGCGACTATACGTGCTGTGGCGAGCCGGTGACGAGCTCGGCCACCCGTGCGGGCCCTGGCGGGCGGAAGCCGAGGTCGGCGGCCCGTCCGAAAGTGTGGCTCCCGGTGGCGCCCCGGTGGCGCCCCGACGGCTGCCGCCGTGCGGCCGCCGCCTCGGCCCGGAGGCGCCTCGGCAGCGCCACGGCAGCGCCGCCCACGGCACGCCGCCGCGCTGCGCCGCCCGGGGCGGGGCTCGCCGGGGGCCCCCCGGGCGAGCGGCCCCCGGCAGGCGCAGCCCGCCCACGCCGAGGCGGCGGGGCCGGACCGCGCGGCGCGGGCGAGGCAGCCGGCCAGCGGAGCGCGGGCAGGGTCAAGTCGGGCGCGTCCCTCTACGGGGGGGACGTTCAAGAATAGGAAAATAATAAATAGTAAGGGGGCGATGTTTTGACCATGTGGGGGGTATCTGGAGGGTATTTTTTTGGTTTTTCGTCCCAAATCTCCTTGTAAGGGGGACGCGCCCGACTTCACTCCAGCAGCAGCGCGGCGCCTGCGGGCAGCGAGCAGGAGGCCGGCCTGGCGCACCTGGAGCTTCCGCAGCGTGGAGCCCACGGGCGGCGCGCCGGCGCCGGCCGAGGAGCTCTCGCGCCCGCCACCCCTGGCGCTCCAGCCATCACCGCGCTGATGATCAGCAACCTACCGATGGCTCTGACTCGGGTCGGGCGAAAGGGGGGGATTGGGAAAGGGGGGGTTACGAAATTTGCTGCATGCAGCTGGTTTCGGCCTCACCGAAGGGCCAATTCCTCGATACATGGCCGCTCCCGGCGCCGGGAGGCGCCGGGAAAATCAGCTACGTGAGCTGATTCTCAAACCCCCCCTTTGCTATCCCCCCCTTTCGCCCGACCCGACTGACGCAGAGTGACTTGCTGGACCTCATCGACCGGACCGGTTTCGCGGGCCGCTATGACTCTGCGCGCGTGCCGACAGACTTCGACACTGGGACCGCTAAGGGAATGTGGGGGGGAGGTGGGATCTGTTTCGCATCGGCTGCGGCAGTGTCGCTGCGACGCTGAAGAGCAGCGAACCTGGCGAGAAGTGGTGCCTGCTGAGGCACGGCCAGAGCATACAATCCTCCGTGCCTGGCGCGGCGCGGTCTGAGCCCGGCAGCCTACGACGGCGTGCTGGCGGTGGCCCGTGACCACGCGTTGCAATCTCTTCGTCAATGGCATGAAAAAAACGCCCTAATTACCCCTGGTTTGCGAGGCGCTGTGCGCTGAAACTCCTGTGGGCTGACAGGGCAAACCCTGCGTGATGTGCCGCGCTCTGGCGGCTCTAGGCTTTGGGGGTTCCCAGGTGGTTTACAGACCACGCACTCCCAGACATGCGACGTCCTGATTTTTTCAGGACGGCGTCCCCGCAAGTCCCGACCCTAACCCCGGGACCGGTTTTTCGTCCTGAGTCGTTTTTTGACGGTCCCGAGGCCCGGCGAGGACCTCTAGAGGGCGAAAATGTTCAAAAACCGCCCGTCCTGATTTTTTTACGACGCCATCATGTCTGGGCTTGTCACCCAGGGTAGGGCCGTGTTTTCATCCCCCAGCTTCGCATCTGCTCCGCGTGAGCGCCGCCGCCGCGCAGGCCCTGAGGTCGACCGTCGGAGCGGGAAGCCGGTGGTCCTTGATCCGGCGCTGCCGGCGTCGCGGCCCCTGCAGGAGATGTTCAGGAGGGAAAGAAACACACAGACATAATTAATCGGCGATTCCAAGAAAATATGGGAAAATATGGGAAGTGGGGGGGAAGACAAAAACCCAGAAAATATGAGAAAATATGGGGGGTATTTTTATTTGTGTGTATTTATTTGTGTGTCCCAGTTCCCCTTCAGATGTACCGGACAGCTCTTCTTCCACCGCTGAAGAGGGTCAAACCAGGACTCGGCCCTCGGCCACTCCGACGTGCTCGCCGGGAGCCTTCCCTTCCTGCTCAGCCAGCCCCTTCTGCTCTCCAGCGCCCTGCGGGGATCGTCGTGTCGCGCGGCGGCTCCTCCAGGAGCGTGGACGACGAGGAGGTTTCAGGCTGGGGTTTCACTGTGTCCTTGCCTGGTTCGGCTCCGCTGCTGGACTTCTGCGGGCCCACACTTCTTGCCGAATATGATCCTTGTTACATTGGTGCGTGCCGGCATTCGAACGACGTCGGTGACCTGAGCGATATGTTTTACTCTTGGTTTTCCATACGTAATCATATCCGTACATCGTCGTCCTCTTCTTTTTCTTCTTCTTCTTCGTATTATCATTTTTATTGTTATGATTATTCTTATTATTATTATTCTTCTTCATCGTCTGCCTCTTCTGCATCATATTGCATCGACCATGACTCGGAGTTCGCGGCTAACATAGCACGCTGACATGCAAGAACACGCCAAAATATCAGGCTAGCCCTGCATATTCGGCGCCTGGTTGATGAGCTTGGTCAATGCCCAGTGTGGCGGAAGGTGGAGTCTCACACGGGACTGTTCTTGAACGACCGGGCTGATGAACTCGCGGATTGTGGTGCGAGTGGACTCTTCTGTGGCCTGCCAGACGTACGGAGGTGGGCAAGAAGGGAGCGAATCATCAAGAGCGAGGTCAGGCAGCCCCTGACTGTATTCATTAGATGCGTTTGTGAACTTCGCCACCCCAAATGGCGCCCGCGAGTTCTCCATCCATGCAGTGGAACGGATTTCGGCTGACTGGAGTCGCTAGAGCCAAAACCGTCGTGACCGCAAGCGAGGTCAAGGTGTCGGCGATGCAGGGCTATGTGGATAATGCCAGGAGGCGGAAGGCGAGCCATTTGCGCCGCACTGAGAATCCAGAGCTCCGCCCCCTTATTTCGCCCAGGGACGCGCCGCCCAGCGAACGCGCGGCTGGCTGGGCAGGCAGTCAAGAGCCGCGCCCTGACGGCGCATCGGCAGAAAATAGCATGCTGAAGAAAACACGCAAGAAGGTATGCGTGCAGACGCCGAGCCCATGCAGTGATTCGGGGATCATGCGCCAGAGCCTTCGTTCCGGAGCCTCGCGAGGGAGAGTTGTGTCCCTGGAGCGTTTGGGAAAGTTCCAAGGTCCCATTGGTTGGTGGTTCCTGGAGGGCTCGCGGAGGCTCCAGGCTCACCTATGGAGGTTCCTGGAGGGTAGGGTTCGAGGGCCCCGCAGCAGGTTCCTGGGGGGGTTCAGGGGGCCCTCGCAGGTCAGGAGAGTTCCAGATGCCACCGGAGCGTCGCTGGAGAGTTCCAGGGGCCCCCCGGAGGATCGCCGGAGATTCCGTGGACTGCTCCAGCTGCGGTGCGATCTCTGGAAAATTCCAGGGGGCCCTCGCGGGCCTCTGGAGAGTTCCAGGAGCCACCAGAGGGTCGATCGCTGGAGCCTCCCAGGGGGCCCCTGGAGGGTCACTGGAGAGTTCCAGCTGCAGGGCGATTTCTGGAAGTTCCAGGGGGCCCTCGCGGGTCACTGAGGAGTTTCAGGGGCCACCTGAGGGTCGCTGGAGAGTCCCAGGGGCCCCTGGAGGGTTTCCGGAGAGTCCCTGGAGAGGTCTGATTCGTTGTTTCCTGGAGAATGTGACGAGTTAGTTTTGTAATTTGAACCTGCCCAGGGGGGAGGGTTAACCGAAGACAGTCTTGACTGCTCGGGGTGAGGGGGATGGGGAGGATATGCGGAGCACTGCCGGTCGGGGCCGCCACCGCTTGACCTCGCCTCTTCCCTTGGATTTCAAATTTGTTTTTTTCAAGCCGCTCCATCTCTCAGTGGTGGCGGATAATTAGCGGATAGCCACAGAGCCACTTGGAGCCAACAGGAGGAGGAGGAGGAGGAGGAGGAGGAGGAGGAGGAGGAGGAGGAGGAGGAGGATCGGAGGAGGAGGAGAAGGAGGAGGAGGAAGAGGAGGAGGACGAGGAGCAGGAGGAGGACGAGGAGGAGGAGGAGGAAGAGGAGGAGGAGGAGGAGGACGAGGAGGAGGAGGAGGAGGAGGAGGAGCAGGAGGAGGAGGAGGAGGATACCGCGCATCGCGCCCTGGTTGTCGCCGCCTCGCCGTCGCGATCGCGAGTTTCCCCCCTGCCGGGCAGGCAGGCCCCTGCCGGGCAGGCAGCCCCCCAGGCACTGAGGGGGCCCCATCGAGACGGCCCCAAGACGGCCCAAGACGCACGGTAGACAGCCCAAGAGGGTTCCAAGAGAGCTCCAGGAGGGGCTGGAGAGAGGGCGCCCGAGCCGACATTTCGAGCCATCCGTCTCAAGATGACCCCCGTCGTGGCCGCCAACGGGCCCCCAAGAGGCCTCCAAGACGCCCCCGAGAGAGCCGAAAGTTTTCAGGAGGCCCACAGGAGGGCTCAAGAAAGTCCCCCAGGGGGCTTGAAAACTGCTTCTAGGATACCTGCGATTCCCGACCGTGCCCCCCGACAACCCGCCAAGAAGCCATGGGAAACACGGGTGACCCACAAAAGAGACCCCAACACGCCCCAGGAGTCGTGCAAGCGAGATTTTTTGTTTTCAGATCTCGTCGAAGGCGCTCCGGGGGCACTCATTGGCTTTGGCTTCTACGCTAGGTTCGTGTCGTGTCGACCAGCGGCGACCCCGCCGCCGGAGTTCAACGTTGAACGCCGACGGCGACCCAGAATCGATCGATGTTCAACGATGTGGCGTTTCGGAAACGGCCCATCGTTCAAGGTTGAACGATTCCCGCGGTGTCAAGAACCATCGCTTGGGTCGACACGACGCAAACCTGCGGTACGCCGCTCCGGCGTCCTCGCCCTGCGCGTGGACCCGCCCGCCGTTGCGGCGCAGCGCGCGGCATCGTTTCACGCGGCCGGCGGACCGCCAGAGACGGCCTCACCGAGAGGATCGTCGGCCTGTCTTTTCGCCGCGGGCGTCGGCGCTCAAATTCTCACGACTGTCCGCCTGAGGCCGGGACCAGCGTGAGTGGATTTTTGAACGGCCGACGCGATTGAGCCTGGAACCCTTTGTTGCGGTTCCCCATGTGTGGTCGCCTTTCAGCAGCACGCCTCCCGGCAACGACCTGTCGGGGCGGCGCGCCCGCAGTACTTGACGGCTGTCTTTGGTTGTGAGCTTATAACCGCAGATGCGCATCGAGTGCGCTATGGTTGCGTAACCGACAACGCGTTGCTTGCAACCGTTTGTAACCAGTACTGCAACCAAACAGTAATCAACCAGTTACCACAGACCACCAAAAGTTAAGCAAACATGTAAACGCACGTAACCATGTCTTAGCTGCCTCGACACCCAGGGTCGTTGCAGACACTGCCCGCTTGTCCGCCCATGTTTTCTCGCCCGTGTCACGTTTCATCCTGTATGTCCCACGTTGCGCTTTTAATTCGGGGGTATATTTAAACCCCCATTGGAGCCATTGTGGATCCTTCTTTCCCCCACATCCTGAGTGGGGCTTTTGTTTTCCCAGAACATCCTCTCCTTCTCCCTACCGCCTGCCGCTTCCCACATCAATGCGCCGTAACCATTTTGGCTCAATCCATTTTGGCTCCAGCCATTTCGCGTCCGAGCGGCCCCCCAACTGCACCAGGCCCCTTGGGCGATGCGGCGCGCAAACTTCGAAGTGGCGCTGCGCGCCCGAGTCATGGAGAAGCAGCGCGGAGCCCCACGTCATCAGCTACAACGCTGAGATCATGCGAGCGCGCAGCTGCCCGGATGCCCGCCCCCCCCCGCCCCCTCCTCCTCCTCTCCGTCTCCACCCTCCTCCACCTCCTGGCAGACCGGGGCGCCAGCCGATGCGTCGCCGCGGGCAGAGTGCGGGGGCAAGAGAGTCGTGATCAGCTACAGCGTAGGGATCAGGCCGTGAGGGAAGAGCAGCAGTGGCAGGCAGAGCTGACGCTGCGAGGAAGCAAGCAGTGGCAGCCAGAGCTGGCGCTGCGACAGGGACGAAGGCGCGGGTGGGCCACGATCAGCTACAACGCTGGGGGCAATCCGTGCGAGAAAGGGAGCGCGCAGTGGCAGCGGACGCTGGCGCTGTGCAAAATGCGCGGGTGGGCCACGATCAGCTGCAACGCTGGGGGTCGTCCGTGCGAGAAGGAGGGCCTGCGAGAAGAGGGAGGCGAAGCTGGAGCCCGAGTGTCTCTTCTAGCTAACGCGTCTGGGAACAGCGCGGGTGAGAAAGCGAGCAATGTTCTGCAGCGGCCATCCTGCGAGAAGTGGGAGGCGAAGGCAGAGCCCGATGTCGACAGCTACAGCGTTGGGATCGGGGCAAGCCGCTGCGAGAAGAGGGAAGCGAAGCTGGGGCCCGAGTGTCTCTACTAGCTAACGCCTCTGGGAACAGTGCGTGCGAGAAAAGCGAGCAATGTTCTGCAGCGGCCATCCTGCGAGAAGTGGGGGGCGAAGACAGAGCCCGATGTCGACAGCTACAGCGTTGGGATCGGGGCAAGCCGCTGCGAGAAGAGGGAGGCGAAGCTGGTGCCCGAGTGTCTCTTTTAGCTAACGCCTCTGGGAACAGCGCGTGCGAGAAAAGCGAGCAATGTTCTGCCGCCGCCATCCTGCGAGAAGTGGGAGGCGAAGGCAGAGCCCGATGTCGACAGCTACAGCATTGGGATCGGGGCAAGCCGCTGCGAGAAGAGGGAGGCGAAGCTGGGGCCCGAGTGTCTCTACTAGCTAACGCCTCTGGGAACAGCGCGTGCGAGAAAAGCGAGCAATGTTCCGCCGCGGCCATCCTGAGGGCAGGACAGGATTGGCCCGCGCAGGGGAACAGAGCGGGCCGCGGGGAATCTGGCGGGAAGACCAGGGGCCCATGTCGCTCACATGTGGTATTTTTCTGGTGTGCACGTCCTGGTCGGATTCTCGCTGCTGCTCGGGTGGTCGCGGACCCTCGCGCGCTGAGTTTGGTGGCTGCGTGGGCGGGCCTGCGGATTTTCAATGCATGCACTGCAAGACCCCAGCACGGTCGACCCAGAAGAGTCATTGCGAACCGCACTTCAGTTCGGCCAACGCAGTACCGTGCTGATTTACAAATCCATTTCTTCGCCATTTGGCAACGTGACAACCGATGATGTTCTTGTGTCGCATGCGCATGGGCCATGCATCCTGGGGCAAGTGCGTTTTTTTTTTTGCTCGGCCGGATTACCTGACAAAGACATACCAAGGCCTATGGCCCTTGCCGCTGGCCCCTCTCTCCCAGCAACCGAGAAGGTCGTCTCGGGGCTTCGTTGGTTTTCAGGGCCCGCGCCGTCGGGCCGCACTTGGCCCTTGCAGGGCCTGTGCAACACCAAACCGCCTGCAATCGCACCGAAGAACCGCTGCCCGGCATTCTCTTCCGCCTTTCGGGGCGAATCGCAGCTTGGGGTGCACTTGATGGCTTCGGCCTGCGTGCCTGAAGGCCCACTGGGGCCGGCGGGTCAAGGTCTGCGTCCGCCTGTTCCGAGAGAGCGAACCCGGCAGGTGGAAGCCTCATGGTGCTGACATGCACCTGCTAGACATTTGTTACTTTAACGGGGCAGCGCCTCACATTACGCATCCTTGTGGCGATTTGTACCTTTGACACCGTATTAAGACAAATAGTGCACATCCTCGCCCTCATTGGGTCCATAGGCGTCTTGGGGCCGTAGGCGTCTTGCCTTGGGCATATAGGGGGCCTTCGGCGTCTAAGGGCATTAGGCGTCTCGGGGCATCTAGGGGCCATAGGCGTCTTGGGCCTTCGGATTGGACCCCCCATGGGCCCTCTAGGAGGAAGTTGCCATAAGGCGCCCAAACACCAGCACCAGCACGCGACGCCTTCAACAGCATGCGACCTGGCCTGAACCCTTCGGGGGGAATTTAGCAGACGACGACGAGCACCAGCACAGCGTACACGATCTGGCCTGGACCCTTCGGGAGGGACTTGCCAGACGACGCCCAAGCACCGGCACCAACACACGACGCCTGCACCAGCATATGACCTGGCTTGGACCCGTAAGGGGGAACTTGCCAGACGACGATCAGCACCAGCATCAGCGCACAGCGCGCACGACCTGGCCTGGACCTGACGACACACGGCGCAAGCATATCATCAAAACGCTACGAACTTGTCTGTTGAGTTCGTCGACTGCTACGACATCAGCTATATATCGAGGCGCTACGCGCTCGTAGGGTCCCTGTCCAGACTCGGCGATCCGTGTGAGGGTTGCGTCGGAATCCTGCCAGGAATCTGTACGGTTCCTGCTGCGGCCCTGCTACGGTCCTGCTTGTAGGGTGCTACTGGGCCCTGCTAGGGCCCGGCAGTGGTCCTGCTAGGCCCAGACGACTCTGCCGTGCGGGCCCACTGGGGTCCTCGACCTTCCAGGAAGGCCCAGATGTCTCAGGGCTGCAGTGCGGCTCTCTTGGGTGCTCGTCGGATGACTCAGAATATGGCGAGGATGTCTCAAGCGACGCAGTGGGACAGCAACGCAGCAACAACAAACACATAAACAGGCGGTCTGATCTCCCAGTGATCCCTGGTGCGAGCGCTGGGGAGGCCAGCGATGCACCGAACAAACAAATGAACAGGTGGTCTGATCTCCCAGCGATCCCTGGTGCGAGTGTGGGGGATGGCAGCAACGCACCGAACAAAAAACATAAACAGTGGCCTGTGATCTCCCAGTGATCCCTGGTGCGAGCGTGGGGGAGGGCAGCCACGCACCAACCAATGTGGAGCCGCTCGGCCTGCAGAGCCCCTGGACCCCCTCGAGGCCCCTTCCGTGCGTGAGGAAGAGAGAACATTCTCCTCTTGTTTGCCTTTAAGTCCTCCCCTCCTCTTCCTCTTTTCTTTCCTCGTCCTCTCTTCCTGCTGCTGCTGCTGCTCCTCCTCCTCCCCCTCGATCCTCCTCCTCCTCCACCTCCTCCTCCTCCTCCTTGATCCTCCTCCACTCCTCCTCCTCTTCCTCCTCCTCCTCCTCCTCCTCCTCCACATCCTCATCCTCCTACACTTCCTCCTCCTCCGCGGTCCTCCTCCTCATCCTCTCTCCTCCTCCTCCTCCTTCTCCTCCTCCTCCTCCTCCTCCTCCTCCTCCTCCTCCTCCTCCTTCTCGATCCTCCTCCTCCTCGAGGCAGGACGCCGCCTTCCGCACGCCCCTGCCTATCCACTGGGAGAGGAGGAGGAGGAGGAGGAGGAGGAGGAGGAGCAGGAGGAGGAGGAGAAGGGAGAGAGGACAAGGGAGAGAAGGAAGGGGAGGAAGAAAAGGAGGAGGAGGAGGAGGAAGAAGGCGAGCGCGCTGGAGGGAATGGGAGGGAGAGGAGGAGGAGGAGGAGGAGGAGGAGGAGGAGGAGGAGGGGGAGGAGGAGGAGGAGGAGGATGAGGAGGAGGAGGAGGAGGAGGAGGAGGCGGAGGAGAGAGGAGGGAGGAGGAGGAGGAGGAGGAGGAGGAGGAGGAGGCGCAGACGGCTTGCACGGCCCAGACGGCCCAGACAACCCAGACGACGACCCAGAGCCAAACGGCCCAGACGGCTCACACGGATTACGCGGCCCAGACGGCCCAGACAACCTAGACGGCCCAGACGGGTCAGACGGCCCGGACGGCTCGCACGGCCCAGACGGCCCAGACAACCCAAACGGCCAAAACGCCTCAAACGGCCCAGACGGCTCACACGACCCAGGCGGTCCAGACAACCCAAACGGCCCAAACAACCCAGCCGGCAAACACGGCCCAGATGGCTCACACGGCCCAGCCGGCGCAGACGGCGCACACAGCCCAGACGGCTCACACGGCTTACGCGGCTCAGACGGCCAAGACAGCCCAGACGGCCCAGACGGCCCAGACGGCTCAGACGGCCCAGACGGCCCAGACGGCCCAGACGGACCAGACGGCACAGACGGCCCAGACCGCTCAGACGGCCCAGACGGCCCAGACGGCCCAGACGGCCCAGACGGCCCAGACGGCCCAGACGGCGCAGACGGCCCAGACGGCCCAGACGGCTCAGACGGCCCAGACGGCCCAGACGGCCCAGACGGCTCAGACGGCCCAGACGGCCCAGACGGCCCAGACGACCCAGACGGCCCAGACGGCTCAGACGGCCCAGACGGCTCACACGGCCCAGACGGACGGCGCAGGCGGCTCCCGCAGCCCAGACGGCTCGCACGGCCCAGACGGCCCAGACAACCAAAACAGCCCAGACGGCGCAGACGGCTCAGACGGCGCAGACGGCTCACACGGCCCAGACGGCCCAAACAACCCAGACGACGGCCAAAAACCAGACAGCTCAGACGGCTCACATGGCCCACACGGCCCAGACGGCCCAGACAGCCCAGACGGCCCAGACGGCTCACACGGCGCAAACGGCTCACACGGCCCAGACAACCGAAACAGCCCAGACAGCCCAGACGGCTCACACGGCCTAAACGGCCCACACGGCCCAGACGGCCCAGTCAACCCAGACAGCCCAGACAACCCAGACTGCTCAGATGGCCCAGACGGCAACCCGAACGACCCAAAAAACCCAGACGGCCCAGCCGGCTCACACGGCGCAGACGGCTCACACGGCCCAGACGGTTCACACAGCTCAGACGGCCCAGGCAACCCCCCAAGCGGCCTAGACGGCTCACACGCCCAGGCGGCCTAGACGGACGGCCCAGATTGCCCAGACAGCCCAGACGGCTTAGACGGCTCACGCGGCCCAGACGGCTTAGACGGCTCACACGGCCCTGGGTTCTCTGGGCTGTCTGGGTTGTCTGAGCCGCGTGAGCCGTTTGGGCCGTCTGTGCCGTGTGGGACGCCTGGGCTGTTTGGGTTGTCTGGGCCGTCTGGGCCGTGTGAACCGTCTGGGCCGTGTGAGCTGGCTGGGTTGTTCGGGCCGTTTGGGTTGTTTGGACGGTCTGGGCCGTGTGAGCCGTCTGGGCCGTTCGAGCCGTTTGGGCCGTCTGGGTTGCTGGGCCGTGCGAGCCGTTTTGGTCGTGTGAGCCGTCTTAGGCCATCTGGAATGTCTGGGCCGTCTGAGTTGTGTGAGCCGTCTGGGTTGTGTGAGCCGTCTGCGCCGTGTGAGCTGCCTAAGCCGTCTGGGTTATCTGGGCTGTCTGGGTTGTCTGAGCCGTGTGAGCCGTCTGGGCCGTCTGAGCCGTGTGAGCCGTGTGGCCTGTCTGGGCCGACTGGGCCGTCTGGGCTGCCTGGGCCGTCTGGGCCGTGTGGGCCGTTTGGGTCGTGTGAGCCGGCTGGGTTGTTTGGGCCGTCTGGGTTGTCTGGACCGTCTGGGCCGTCTGGGCCATGTGAGCCGTCTGCGTGGTCTGAGCCGTGAGGGTTGTCTGGACCGTCTTGGCCGTGTGGGCCCTCTGGGCCGTCTGTTTGTCTTGGCCGTCTGGGCCGT